CTACATCTGTTCCATTCAGTCCATACTTGAGTATGGGTCTAATTCCTTTGCTCACTGCCTTTCTGCCTCCCTCCATGACCGTGTTGTCCGACTTAGTAATAGAGCGCTGCGTATTGTATTTTGCATGCCCCGCCTATCTGATGTCTCCCTTGTTCTTGCCCGCTACCATATCATTCCCTTGTCTGTCAGGTACCAATTCAAGCTGTACGTTCTAACGTACCGTGCGCTTCATGATCTGGCTAGTGTCTTTGTTGCTAACTGTTTCTGTCTCCGCTCTAATTCTACCTGCACTAGTTCTCGCACCCGCTCTCAAGTGTCCTCTTCCCTTGCTCTTCCGACAGCCAAACGTCGCTATGGTTTATTTTCTGTCACTTTCCTTGGCTCTGACCGCTGGTATGCCCTCCCAGCGGAGGTCCGCTCAAGTTCTTCCTTGCATACCTTCCGTAATTCTGTTCTTCATTTTTTAGGGTACCCTGTCAAAAGGCCTTAGGCCTGTGGGGATTGCCCTATCAAAAATTTAATAATAATAATAATAATAAATCTCCTCGGCCAGTTCTTCCCGGCTCTGTACGCCAACGAGAACATGGCGATCGCGTGCGGTGGATACATAGATGCTGACAGTGCTCCGCTGACGGCTTGCAGTCATGTACGCGTGGACACACGCGACGGTGGATATGCAACCTGGCAGAAGTCAGGCGTGGCGCATCTACCTGGTGCATTCCTCGACCCGGAAGTCGTGGTCGTCCAGGGTGATGCTTATCTGGTCGCCACGGAATCGAGCCGTTCCGAGAGCCACCTGTACAAACTGGATCAGACAGGGGATGTGCTGCGATTCCAGAGATTACCCGGGCTGAGCGGCCGCCGAGTGAAGTTCCTGCCGGGCCTCACCAGTCACGGCGACTACATCATCTTCGCCGGCGGTCGGAACAGCAACCTGGCAAGCTCGCACAGCCTCGCCGCCTTTGCCCTGAGCGTCAGGGACAACTCCGTGGTAACGCTGCCACCGCTACCGGCGCCCGTTGGCGTGACGAGCGCCGAAGTCTTCCAAGGCCGGTTGGTCGTGTCATCGAGCCGGTCACTCAGCTTGTACGTACTCAAGATTGAGGTCTAGACACCCCTAGTATGGTGGTCAGTGTGTTGCTATTCTCCTCCAGTCTCACCAAGTCCTCAAGGTTACCGATTGTGCTGCATTTGACACACACACATGCACATGCACACGCATGCTTGCATACACCAAACTAGGACTAGCTTATAGAATTTGTTTTTTTGGATAGACCTTGAGTTTAAAAAGTTATACAGTCGTCCCTCTCTAATCCGGCACTTTATAATCCAGCACCCTCGATAAACCAGCACAATTTTCAGTAGCCAAAATATCCTCTTCATGCACATTGCAGCAGTAAATCAGATTTGTAAATCCAGCACCCTCCCTAATCCAGCAGATTTTCGTGGCACAAATGGTGCCGGATTATAGAGGGACCACTGTACATGTAACACTGATATTTTGAAACAGTGCATTTTTTGTCCAATAGTAACCACGAGTCGTAACCGGCACTGCACAATACACGATGATTTTTGTTTTCAACTATTTCGCTACCTCAGCCACTCCCCCTACTTCTCTTGATGATTTTTTTCAATTTATGATTAGACCAGCCCAAATGCTCAACAGCAAATCATGGAGTGCCGTGTGTTCTGAGGCCAGAGAGCCTTACGGGAGGTGGAGGTGTGCGAGCCTAGTCTTGGGCACCAAGAGTTGTGCAATGTGTATATTTACCCCAAGTTTTAAGATGGCAATGCACAGAATCAGCTGAAGCGACATGTTACGAAGGTTTTACTGAGATGTAAAGTGGTGATGGACAAAGAAATAACGGTGATGGAGATGTAATGTGAAGAACAATCTTCCACCCTCTAGGATCTAGGCGCAGATGCAGCTCCTGAAGCGGTGGGAGGTGAGTAGATCAGACCCGCCAAAGTGGGCAAAGACCGAAAATCACTGTAGGCATGGACAATATATCTATAATCTGATGAGTGCCTGAGATGGCATGAAACTTTAAGTTGTGACTGATCAAGCCATCTGTTGTTCTGACTAGTGGATAACGTATTATTAAATGTCTCGCGACTGGTTTTGGGTAGGATCTTTGCGAGGGAAAGGCGAGGCCTCGTCAGCCTGAAGCATGGCCCTATGACTAGGATATGACTGATTCCTTGAGGTGTCACAGGAAGGGTGGGGGGAGGGGGGATAGTATCCATTACCACCACCGTTGCAACACGAGGTTCCTTCCGAGTATTGCATAACAAGTTACCACTCCTTCTGACAGCTGTAACATACACGGACAATGTTGGTGCTTATTTCGTTTCCGGTCATTCAACAACTTGGCCTTCTCTGATGAGGTCTCAATGACCGAAACCGCTGTCAGGACTGGACTCACTGGACTCATTATGATAGTATTTCAATAACCTGGTGGAACCCCATGTTGCTATTGTGGGAAGTGTAGTACATGTACATGTGGTGACTGTGCATGTGGTCAACCACAGAGCACCATGGTGGTGGTGATGACGTCAACGCAGAATACGATACACAACTTTTTTTTTCTCACTGGTTTGAGGGAAAGACACAAACGAGAAAAGTGTGAAGAAAAAAAGTATTTTTCTTTAGAAAAAAAAGTAAGAAATAATTGAAGAGACCTCGAGGAAGTACTGTAACATAGTTAGTTGTGGAACAGCCTACCAGCGACCATTCTACCAGCAGTGCCGCAACCCAGACAGCCCCAGTCCTTCAAGGAAAAGTGCAACATGTATCGGCTGCACCTGAACTGGCAAACAGCCACCGACGCCCTATGAAACGGTTTAGACAAGTGCCTCACTAGAATCCTCTCTCCTTCCTTACCATAATGCCGGTGATGTTATTCTTTCACTCTGCTTCTCTCCTGACCATCTACTAGTACTAGGCATTGACGGATAATGCTGGAAAAGGTGGCAGATTCTGCTCGAAAAGCAGTGAAATTGGCAGAACCATACAAACCTTATGGCGGGCAATTCCTCGAATTCTGCTCCATTTCTTTATCCACACACCAGACATGCATGAAACGCACCGGAAAAAGTACCGAATTCTGCCAATTTTTCTGCCGGCATTATCGCAAAGGCCTACCTACCCATTGTCAGACTATTATTCATTTCCCCTCCTTCTCCCCCCCTCATGGTTTTACTGCATTATGGCGCGCTTTGTCTGCGTAGACATATTCGGGAATATAGTGGACTTTCGTACAAAAAAAACAAAACAAAACGTTGGTTGCTCCCATGCATGGCCCACACAGCTCAGTACAGTGGAGCCAACGCTTTTCCCACCGACCTGACCTGCATGATCCACGAAGCTCGCGCACTGACCATACCAGGTCTCACTCCCAGTCCCAGCCATCAGGACTTCACTACTGTACCTGGGGCCTAGGCTGGGTGCTCCAAAGCTACACGACATACACGAGGCATGCAGCTACATGTACATGCACATGTTAATAGGTACAGCTTGTATGACTAGTACAGGCTAGTACAGCACTACAAACCACAGTCATGTTCCAACGTAGGCAATGGCAATGTGTCGATGATGGCAACAGCTCACTTGTACTATCTCCGCTCGTTTAAACACTTTATGGAATCCAACAAAGAGACGGCGTCACACGCTAGCCATGCACACTACAGCATCACGGTAGTCCAGAATCTCACAATCACCTACCCGGCTACCGTGCCGACCGCTGGACCCAGTGGTTCTACAAATCGGAGATGTCGAACCATTGATCGTCCTTCAAAATCAAAGCCAAAGGCTTGTAGTAGATCTACCTGCACGATCGAGGATGATGGCTTGATGCATTGAGGGCGGCTGTCCACATCATGTTCCCCGCTTCGCCATTACATGACTAATCTTAGTTCGGACAGGCCTAAGCAGCACTCTCCCTCAGTCCGCATTGTATTTTGTTGAGATACTGTACCCGTATACCAGGTACTGTAAATATACAAATTTTCGGCAGCTATTTAATTTCGGCTATATTCGGCACCGACCCAAAACGCCTAAATTAAAACGCCGATGAAATTTTTCACAGCATCTGTCGCACTATCATGCCCTCCACCCCACGCCGAAAATAAATCGCCGCCGAAATGTCAACAATCGTGAAGTGCCGAAATTTTGCAGCGCCGAAATTTTGTATATTTACAGTATACAATACTGTTGAACCACACATGCACAACAAGGACATACATATAATTGCTGAACGAGTACTCTGCGCTCACCATGGAGTTCTCAATGAAATCCAGTCGCGTCACTCAAGTACGCGCCGGACTTTCCGCAGCCCTAGACCTGCGAACACTGGGCTGCGAAATTGTGCAAGGCGCAAACTTGAGTGACGCGACCGGATTTCATTGAGCACTCAGCACTAAAACTTGTGGAAGCAGATTACATTCATCGACGAAAATAATCGTGAAAACCCGACTTCTGTCAAACTGCAGTACCTGCTGTCCCGTGGGGTGGATGGAGGAACATGACTGTCCTCGTCGACATTGTGTGTCCCACGTAAAGTCATCGTTGTCGCTTTTGTCTCTGCGCGGCGTGTTTGTAGCGTTGACCGGACCACACTTACACGCGCTGTGTCGACTGGTAACACCACCACGCAGCCACAGACTCACACAGTGCAGTACTCGCGCGCGTCTCTGTTATGTTTGATTTGAAGCAGAGAGTTGTGTCGTAGACCATGGCATGGTAGAGTGTGAGGCTGTGTACAGGGCTGGTGTCCTCATGCTCAGCTGTAGGCTGTACTGTCTGTAGACTGCACTGATAGGACTATACTAGGACAGTAGGAGTGTAGAGCACAGCAAGTCAGCATCGGTTATCCTCCCAGCTGCGTAGATTCTACGACATAATGATAAAGACTGGTAGATCTACAATACCTACATCCTGGACCTTGTTGCTTGTAGACCTACATCATGTACCTGCGCCGAGCTAGGCAGTGCAGATCCCGCTCGACGTCCGTCACTCGTCAGGCGTCACAGACTCACTACACCACACACTGACACTGCATGCCCCGCTGTGACCTGCATTGTTTCCGCTTCGTTCTGCTGCGACTGCGAGTGTGATGTTCTGCCTTCTGTTTTGACTTGAGCGGCACTGCTAGTACTAGTGTTGGTCGTTCTGCCGCAGTTTGGTTCATGAAGTAAGTTCATCGACAACAGCATCCTTGAGGGGTGGCTTTGTCTTGCAGAGCCGAACTCAGCGGGGCAGTGTTGTTGGATCAGCAGAGCTACTTGGAATGCTCGCGCGCAAGGTTTTTGCCACCGAACATCCACCCGCTCGTGAAGTGTTGCATCGAGAAAAGAAGGTGAGACGAGAAATGCCTCCGAATCACGCGTCGTGTGCCTGTATGTCACTATGTGCGCGCCAGCGAGATCCTCATGGATGCTACGCAGCAGCGAGGAGGAATATTTTATAGTATAGTTCTACTCCACAAGATCAAGATGGAATGTTGAATGTCTTTTGTCATGTGCTTGTACCAGAGTGTTTCACTGCGGATACGCCAGGCAGGGTCTTCCTGTTTGTGACTTGTTCGTGTGTTGCGCTTGTGGCGCAAGCGCTCGTGCTGCGCAGCGTTTTCGTGTTTCTAGTTTCGTGTCTCTATTTCCTCTCGTCACGGTGTGACCGTTTAGCCGCTCGGTGTAGTAATGTCTAATGAAGTCAGTCACTCGTTCTTCTGAGCATGTCCTGTATTGACTAGGGGAAAGCCAGCTTCAGATAATCGACTCACACCCGAAATCGTTGATCGACTTTTGCTTGGCCACTAGTCACTGCTTTTCGTCCAGCCATCAGATAAGAAAGGGTGCGCTGTCGCGCGTTAACGCGTTGGTGTGGGTGACAAGTGGATAGATGTTTGAGCGCTTTTAGTCAGTTGAGCGAACATCTGATAGCGCGATCGTTCAGAGCATTAACTGGTACACCCGAGCCCGGGAAATGTCATTGTTTGTTGAGCGTTCCAACTCCAACTTCCAAGCCGCCCGTTTACGATGCATTTGCTTTGATTGAAGGCGTTCTGATTTAGCACACGCGCTGCATTTCTCTGGTGTCTCTAAAAAGAATTGTAGCGTCCCAGGTTCCCCGCGCTAGAGCTTCCTTCGCCAAACAATTTTGTTCCGCATGAAACACGTGGTTGATTGTGAAAACAGCTGACATGATTTGTCGTGCGCTTCCTTGTGTAGTCGGTTCACAGCCCCAATCAGCTGTTTGTTGGTCGCATGCACACGAAGTGACTGTAGACTGTGTGGACGCTTGCCAGTGAAGCCTGCAGCCTGCCATGGACATGAAAGAGAAATTGGATTCGTATTCGCAGAATGTGAACAAAGTATCGTCGTGTCGTTACCGTGACGTCGAGGAGAGCTGCTGTAGCTGTGGCGCGGGGAACGGTCTACGTCCAGCCCCTAGGCCCCTACCTGTCACCAACGAATGAATACTGAGTACTAAGTACTAGTACAGTGAAACCTGTCTAAGGGACCATCGCAAAAGTTCGCAGAAGCCCCCGAAACGAAGACCGTGAGTTTCGGGCCTGACCCCCCTCCCTCCCCCCTCAAACGAAACGACAGTCACAATATGGGCTTCATTTTTTCACTTCGATGCTCACACATAATAATTATTATAATAATACTACACAAGCATTGTTGTATCAGTGTGTAACAATGTACAGCACTTTATAAATGCAACGATGATATCACCTTGCAGTGGGTGATCTAAGAACGAGAACAGCTAGAGCTATGCAGTTGTATCCTTTGAGCATTACAATGAACGTTGATTGGTGTATATTGCTTTCACATTCAAGCGATATATCTACGCCGGCTGTGATGGCATGCTAATCCTACAGCTCCTATAATTATGTCGTCAATACTTTTTTGAATTGAAGCCCGGTTTGCGATTTTCGCACCGACTCCCTCCCCCCCCAAACGTATGCTCTTCGTTTCAGGGGCTTCTGCGAACTTTTGCGATGGTCCCTAAGACGACCGCTCAAAGGACCTTCAAAACGTGGTCTCTCTTTCCAGGTGGTCTCTTTATCCAGGGTCATTTGACTTGAAATGGTATCCCTTGGTCCTGGTTTCAGTGGTCTTCTAGGACAGGAGGTCGCCTTATCCGAGTGGTCGCATTGACAGGTTTTACTGGCTATGTGGTACTGGTAGTGCTCCTGCATGTTTAATTTATTGAATTATTTTTATACAGACCTGTCAAGGCGACCACCTGTCCTGGAAGACCACTGCAACCAGGACCAAGGGAAGCTATTTCCAGTCAAATGACCCTGGATAAGGAGACCACCTGGTATCAGAGACCACGTTTTGAAGGTCCCTTGACTGGTCGTCTTAGACAGGTTTCACTGTACACGCATCAGTCGTGCCACCACTCCACAATGCCATTGGGCTGCAGGCCAACCCATTTCACTTCCCCACCACCACCACCATGGGTATAGGGAGGCCAATTCCGCTGTCATATTGATATTGCAGATCCTCCAGACAGCCTTTTTTGCTCCACCAGAGTAAAGCTCCTGAGTGTACAGCGTAGATAATGGATGATTCGGGTGAAGGAATGATATCTACAGCGCCAAACTGGCACGGTTTCAGATTTTCTTCTGCAGGCGTTGAGAAGTGAAGCGGCCACAGGGCGTTGGCCTTGCAGCTGCAGCAAGCGCTGCTGATCCATTTTTTCAGTGTGCATGGGAACTACTACAGTGCATCTACGCGCTAAACTGATCAGTAAGGCCGGCGGCAGCGGCCCCGGTCATCCCATCGGATTTCAATGTCCACAACAGTACATAGTAGTGTTGCACGCCGTAGGAAACTCGGTTGCCACAAGATGGCAAACAGTTCTCAGGGCCGTGGCTGGTACACCTTTTAGCGACGGGGGGGGGGGGGGGGGGGGGGGGGGGGGGGAGGAGGTGTGCACGGCCGCATGTGTGTAGGATGGCTGGTGCATGTCATTCACGGTCAATTATGTGCATGCTGAACCTAGGTGTAGGTCGATATTTTTAAGGGGGGGGGGGGGGCACGTGTCCCCATACCCCATGCGAGCTACGAGCCTGGTTGTAATAGGTGTATGCTTGCACTATCACTGCCATTAGCACAACCATCTGCTGTTACCTTGTGTCCTAGCCTTGGGTATTGCTAGTGGAGGAAGGGGACGGGGATCTTTTCGCCAGAAACATTGTGATGTTGTGTAATTTGTTGTAAGTTGAGTGTGTGTTATGAGTAGACTAGTGCAGGCGGCTTATTCTGGCTCAACTTGTTAAGCAGTTCATCAGTGATAGCTGTGCCTCAGGGACAGCTACAGTTTAATGTGTAGCTAGATGTGTTGAGTTGTGTGTTATGAGTAGACTAGTGCAGGCGGCTTATTCTGGCTCAGCTTGTTAAGCTGTTCATCAGTGATAGCTGTGCCTCAGGAACAGCTACAGTTCAATGTTTGGCTAGATGTGGCGTGAAGGTGTTTCTTCATTGGGCAGTACCTCGACACCTGCGTGTACGTCTCATGTATTGTTGTTTGTATTTGTGCCACTCACAAAAAGTGGACAATCAAGGCTTGTTTGCTGCTACTTAAAGTTTCATGCTCTCGCCAATCATCAGGCGACATTTGGCACTATTTGTCCCAGTTATATTATTCCTGAAGATGGGCCTGGCCCGAAAATTTCGATATTTATTCTTTTTGGAAGAATTTGTAGCCAAGAGACCGTTTTCGAGTACTGGTGTATAACTGTGTGAAACATATTATTATGGCCGGAGTAAGAAGTAATAGGACGTGTGGAGTGTGTGAAGGGATGAAAACGATGCACTATTGTCCATTGTTGCATTGTACCCACGTCTACTAGTGTCTAGTGTCGATTGTCGATGTCCCCCTCCCCCCCCCCCCCCTCCCGGATAGCTCTATTGGACTGTATTCACAAATGTGTCTCCTGATACACTCATACATCGGTTATCCGCACCCCGAAGTTACGGGCACTTCGGTCTACCGGGTACCCTTTGGGTGAGTTTAGGTGGAAATATTACTAGTCTTTTGTCAATTTTTATGGAAATAGTGACGCCATATGCCGCATCTATGGCCTTTCCCATTCAGAATGTCTGTGATTCGGTGTTACGGACAAATCAAAGTTGCTGGCAGTGACCGGTCCCGGTCCCGGACTACACGGAAAAATGCGGTATGAGTGTAGAACCGAAACCGCGAAAGAGACACCACTCCATTCAGATCTCTTCATAGTATTGCGCAGAGACCTTTGTTCTTGCTCGGCAGGTATTCGTATTTCCTGTTATGTTGTTCAGTACCTTGGATGTGACAGATCTCTATAAAAGGAAGGTCGTCTCAAATAATTGCAGTGCTTAGTAGATTCACTTCGAATTCTCCCCACACCGCTGGGTGCAGGATTCGTTGGTGCAGATCAGGCAACAAAAAAACTGTGGAGGCAGACTACGTCAGGTGTCCAGTGTACTAATTCCCTGTGTAGACAGACAGATTAATTGTTGAGCATGGTATAGCTTGTTCACTCCCCTTTTCAGCACTGTGTTCACAGATACTATAGTCCACAAATAAAATCAGCTTCCCTTGAAGACCAGCATGTGATGGTAGACATGGATGTGATGGCTAATAGGAGTCGTGGATGTGATGCACGTAGAAATACTGTGCGTTGCATGTAGAAGTGATGAAGGTTGCATGTAGACAATGCTGTGCTGTGCATGCAGAAAAACTGTTCACGTGTAAATAGGACAGGTAACTTTTTTATTTTTAAAGACCACTTCATACGTGGAACGTTGCCGTGTGCGTATCTTTCTGTCTCTAGTGACTGTACCATTGCCCGGGCCATTTCTGGTGGCGTAGGACAATGGACGCAGAGGATGGGGCGCGGCGCACCAGCGAAGCCAGCGCCAATCATCCGGGCGTCAGATTGCTGGAAGCGGCTCGGCGGGGCAAGGACGACGAGCTGGAGATGTGCCTGTCAGCCGGGCTCCCGGTGGACACAGTCGATGATGTGAGCATGGTGATTTTGTAGTAATGCGTCTCTCTTGATAATTTGTTGAAATGGATGCCATCCTAGGGTAGGTATATGTATCACCACAGGTCAGTGTTGTCGGCTTGCCTGACCAGCACAGGTTCCTTTTTGGAGCCCCCACCATTCCCATTGTTGTGTTGTCCTGCTACTTCTCTCCCCTCTTCTTACGAGTAGGTTGTGTCTTCTATAATAATAAAAATATATGACTTGATAGTAAAGGAAAAAGGACCAAGAAACTACAAGTTACGCTGTAATGTCCACTAACAGCAACAGTTACTAAACAAGCAGCTCATCCGATAACATTGCACGACACTGACCGACGTACTGACGTTCTACAACTAACTGGCTAACGGCTCTAGCACATCTTGGATGCTCACTCCAACCGTAGATATCCTTGGCTCTCCATCGGAGTCCAATACATGACTTGTTTGCCTATTAGGTCTTTGTGCTTGAGGTCTAGTAGACTACAATGGTATTTCGCCTATCCTTCCCTGTTCTACTGCACTCTATGACATATCTATTCCATTTTGCGCGGGTTTCCTTATTGCTCGCTCTGAGAAAACATTTTTTTGCAGTATTACAAGGAAAAAAGATAGTATGAATGCTGTTAGGGGTCGTCGCCAAAGGTTTTTGTCGTCCCTGAAACGAACATGATTCATTTGGGGGGGGGGGGGGAGAGGGGTGCGAGCCAAAATCGCAAGTCGACCGACACTGTACATATGACATGTACATGCATGCGATTTTCGTCGTCCAGCATAGCAAGCTGTGTTCGTTTCAGAGGGAGGGGAGGGGGTCCGAGTACGAAATGAACGATGTTCGTTTCAGGGCGACAGAAAACTTTTGCGACGACCCCTTACTGAGCGACGTGTAAATGGATGAGTTGGGCAGGAGTATGCGAATTCCCAGGAACCCTGTCTTGTTCCCGTGTTTTACAGGTCGGCAAGCAAGTGATGCATTACATAGCTCGCTACGGAATGCTGGCAGCGTTCCACGGCTTGATGGCGGTGGATCCGAATCAGATAAACTCAATGGACGACGTAAGGATGTGGCCAAATAGGAAGATTCGTCATGTGCAGTTCGTCATCGTTTGAGATGCTTTGCATTGTGCTAGATTCGCAGGTAGTGTGGTAGTGTGAGAACGGTGATGATAGGCAATGTGTTTTGTGTTTAGTGCACGACGACCGTATTCTCATATGAGAGGAAAATCTGTCCAAAGACATTGCGGTAGCCACCGCCTTAGGTGACCTTAGCCTCAACAGATGTCCACAATAGTGTTTTTCGTCATACCTTCAGCACATGACGAACATTTGTTTTTCGGCTGCAGCTCTTTTTTCCTCCTCCACATACATTCATGCTCAGTGAAATCTGATCACACGTGAGTAAAGTTTTCAGCCGGTGCCATTTCGCAGCTCAGTGCTTCGCAGGTCTAGGGCTGAACAGCTCAGTGCTTGCAGGTCTAGGGCTGCACAGCTCAGTGCCTTGCAGGTCTAGGGCTGCACAGCTCAGTGCTTTGCAAGGCAAGGGCTGCACAGCGCCCTGCTTGCAAGGCTAGAGCTGCACAGCTCAGTGCTGGCAAGGCTAGAGCTGCACAGCTCAGTGCTTTGCAAGGCAAGGGCTGCACAGCGCCCTGCTTGCAAGGCTAGAGCTGCACAGCTCAGTGCTGGCAAGGCAAGGGCTGCACAGCTCAGTGCTGGCAAGGCAAGGGCTGCATGGTGCCCAGCGTGTACTTGACTCCTGCGATCGGATTTCATTGAGTAGCATGGCAGGGGAGGATCCAGAGATCTCTACAGGGACAGTTTAGCCAAAACTGAATAGCTGATGCATGCACAGTACATGTACATGCATATGGTTTCCCGTAGTACATTTGCAAAAAGAATAGGGGGTTCCACGGAACCCTGACCCCCCCCCCCCCCAGATCCGCCACTGCACTGTACTTGTCTGTCTCTGGAATCATAGTGATTTTGTTCTGCCTTTCTGACTTATACTGATTGTGTGTGTGTGCGTGGTGTAGGCTGGTAACGTACCGCTGCACTGTGCCGTCGAGAGACAGGACAGCCTTGGCGTGTTGCAAGCCATGCTGCAGAGGAAAGTCAGCATTAATGAGCGTAACAACGTAAGCTGTTTTTCGTTGTTGTGACGTGCATGGCTCGCGCCCTGCTGTTGATAACTGTTTGATGCGGGTACCGTATTTCCCAGATTAAAAGTCACACTTGATTTTTAAGCCGCAGCCCATTTTCACAATTATCTCACTGCATTCACATAGGTAAGAAGTCACATTCGATTGTAAGTCGCACCCCCTTCTTCGCTCTTCAAGTTTAGAGTAAAAAAGAGCGACTTATATTCGGGGAAATACGGCGTATCAACTCTTAGGACCTGTCACCATGTCTCTTTGATTGAGCGAAGTGTCTACCCCTTTCCAGGGAAGTCATTTGTCCTCTTAGCACCCAGCGCAGATAACCTAATGAGGTGGGGTGGGGGTGGGAAGGAGGGGTGCACTGTGCATAAGAAAGGTGAGGGATGCCAGAACGTAAAAAGGATTGAGTGTAGCTGGGCGCTGATACAAACGAGTACCGTAATTCCGCGCATATTAGCCCATGAGCTTATATCTGAAATAATGCAGTTTGGGGATAAAATATCCAGTAAAACATGTTCGTTTTTTAGCCCATGGGCCAATATTCGAATTTTAAAGGTTCACGAAAAAGTACAAGTCCGTGCTCATAGTGGGTCTACCATACTCTACTAGTAAACTGCACTGAACTGCTGTACCATGGTAGGAAGAGTCCATATTGTGAAAAATTCTACTTGACACGCGAGTTGCATTCGTGTCTGTTTATTAGCCCATGGGCTTAATAACGGAGGTGGGCTTATATCCGTATATAGGCCCGTGGGCTTATATGCGCGGAATTACGGTATGTATTTTATTTATTGCAAGAGAGATTGGAAGCTGTGTCGAAACTCTGAGTTTCCTGTATTACTACGATCGTCAGGCAATTAGTTTATTCATTGTTTTGTTGCTACGTTCGGGCCTGGTTTAGATCTGGCTTTGGAAATTTTTATTTTTCATTGCAATCGGGTTCGGCCTCATTTCCTCTGTGCTGCGCTGATGAGTCCACAAAGGACGAAACAGTTCTGTCCGCAGATTGAGTTGTATTGTTGCTAAACTGTTACAGGATGGACTCACGTCTGTGCATGTGTTTTTTAAATTTATTGTGTTGTTGCTAAACTGTTACAGGATGGCCTCACATCTCTGCATGTTTATTTATTGTGTTGTTGCTAAACTGTTACAGGATGGACTCACATCTCTGCATGATTTTTTATTTATTGTTTTGTTGCTATAATGTTGCAGGATGGACTCACACCTCTGCATGTAGCCGCATTCTGTGGTAACACTCCGGCGGTGTCGACACTAATCGGCCATGGAGCAGCTGTGGAGGCGCGCACGGAGGTACGCCAGAAAGTGACTTGGGACAGGTTTACCGTCATTTTACAAATTTTCGGTGTACTTTTATTTTCATTACTAGCGGTGCATGTCTGTAATACCGAAAATTTCAATAGCCTCGCAAACGCGGACGCACATCCGCAAATAGGAAACTACTTCTCTGTACCTTAAGTTTCTTTTCACCTAGCCTAGTCTTTTGCCGTCGTACCTCAATTTGCGGGCGGGGGGTGGGGTGCAGCCATTTTTATGCACAGGTGATATTCGTTTCTTCTGGCATTGTTTAGTCCCAAAATCTATAGAATGGGCTATGGTGCAAGGTCGATGATGTTTGGAAAAAGGCATACCCGAATATGACATCATGACATCATGTAAGGATTGCTTTGGACGATGGTACCCATTGCTTGTTTGAATGAAGGAGAAGAAGCATCTCATGAAACTGAATTATTCGTTTTCTTCTTTCTGGGATCTCCCTCCCTCCCTCTGTCACTCTCCCCCCCCCCCCCCCCCCCCCCTCTCTCTCTCTCTCTCTCTCTCTCTCTCTCTCTCTCTCTCTCTCTCTCTCTCTCTCTCTCTCTCTCTCTCTCTCTCTCTCTCTCTCTATCTCTCTCTCTCTCTCTCTCTCTCTCTCTCTCTCTCTCTCTCTCTCTCTCTCTCTCTCTCTCTCTCTCTCTCTCTCTCTCTCTCTCTCTCTCTCTCTCTCTCTCTCTCTCTCCCTCCCTCCCTCCCTCCCTCCCTCCTTCTCTCCCTCCATTCCTCCCTCCCTCCCTTTCTCCCTCCCCTCCCTTCCTCCCTCCCTTCCTCCCTCCCCTCCTCTTCTCCTCTCCCTCTCTCCCAATGCCTCTTCCATGTGGCAGGTTTTCAAGACCCCACTCCATCTAGCTGCACAGAATGGCCACTCATCGGCTGTCAAGGATTTACTGGTCAAGGGTGCGGATATCACTGCTGTCTGCAAGGTATGTTCAAGTTTTGTTACGTGCCTAGCAGTACGGTCATTCAATTCACTCTCCTTGACCTGCACTCTAGCAATTTGTGTGTGCATGTGTGCGGTGCGTGCGGTGCGGGTGCATGTGTGTGTATATGCGCACACATGGACTGTGTTTACAATAATTATGCATTTGAGCATGTACAAGTGAAAACTGGTGTGCATGGCCAGAGCCAGCTCTCTTGTTTTCTTGTTCTGCATTGGCTTCTCACAGTACATGACCATCATTCCAGGCTGTGTTTTCAATGTGTTTGTGTTTGTTTGTGTGTGTGTGTGTTTGTGTGTTTGTATGTGTGTGTGTGTGTGTGTGTGTGTGTGTGTGTGTGTGTGTGTGTGTGTGTGTATGTGTGTGTGTGTGTGTGTGTGCATGCGTGTGTATGTATGTATGTGTGTGTGTGTGTGTGTGTGTGTGTGTATGTGCATGTGTGTGCATGTGTCCAGGGTCGGTACATGCCACTCCACCTTGCCGCCATGTCGCCCAGTGTCAAGGCCATCGAGACATTGCTTGCTGGCGGTGCAGACGCGAATTCAACAACGGAGGTAAGCCATTATGCTCTTTAAGGACCAGATTGGAGAAGGCTTTTTGAGTGCTTGGACACTCCTATCTCTGTGTGGAAACCGGGCCGGTCGAGGCAGGTAGAATAGAGTGGTCAATACACACGTGTGCAGAGCATTGTGCGCACCCACGCATCTGAGTATTCATCAGACTTTGGCATTTACTGCTGACGCTGTTGCGAGTGTGTGTGTGTGTGTGTGTGTGTGTGTGTTCTATGGATATTTTGTGAGTCACCCAGGATAGGATTTGAACCTTTGGAACCGTAAAACACCCACTCTCTAAAAATGGTTACCTTGCGTTATACCAGCCATGCAACGGGGCGGAGTGTTGGGTGAGGGCTTTGTGGCATTGGTAAGGTATATCTTCGGAGCAATTCTCGTCTCTTGTCACCTCTTGCCCTTTCTCTCCGTGTCCTTCTGTCGTTGTAGGTCGGAGGCACGCCATTGTACTATGCGGCATCGTACGGACGTCTTCCTGCCGTGGAGCTTCTCCTGCTCCGCAATGCCGATGCTAATGCGTTGGACACCGTTAGTATCTGCCGCCTCCATTAATTGAGCGAATAATCCAAGAACTGGAATTTGTCAGATTGGAATTCTTCCAATTTAGAATTGTGCACTGGTTGAGGGAATGTGAAAAGTCTGAAGGGAAAATTGGCTGTGGCCACCAGGACTCGAACCAGGGACCTTGGCTTGAGGCCAGCGATGCCGTAACCACCGGGCTTTGGTAAAGCTGTCATCGCAGCTGAGACCGTTTAACATTCAACAATTGAGTCGGTTTAGAAATGCTTTGTTGTTCATTAGAATTCATTGCGATCAATTCAGCCGGTTACTCTAAGCTCCGTTGATGAAACCGAACAAGTTGGAAACAACTAGCTGCCTGTAGATTGAGTACTGTGTGCCAAATGTTTAAAACGCTTCCTACGAACTCTCTAACTCCACTGCTGCGTTTTCCTTCCGCTTGTAAACACGTCCCTTCCACGAACAGGGGCTCAGCTGCACAAACAAATCACTACCAGTACTTTCACGTGCACAAATTGTGTTGTGCGTCGCTACAGTCGTATTCATGTTAAGATTTCTCCGTGCGTCTTTGATTTACGTGCCTTTCACTGTAGAACGGACGCAGTGGCATGCACTGTGCTGCTCTGCATGGCCGTACTGCAGTGCTGTTGCCGTTGATCAATGGCGGCGGCATGCTGGATGCACAGGACACGGTAAGCCGATGCAGGATCCACATGGGTTTGCTATAATTATGACGCACTACTATTTTAGTCCAACATCGAATTTACTGATCTGATATGATCATGCTCACAGCTGAGTATTACTATAAATCAACACATATTCGGCCATATCTATTGTCGGCCTGGTCATGCTTGGCCGAAAAATTTGTTGCGGCCGAAATTTTGTTTTGCAAGGTTCAGTTTTTTTTTCTTTTTTTTTCTACAAAATCCACATATCTCCAGACACTGGGGTGAATGATGTTCAGTGTGAGCGTGTGTATGGGTGGCAGCAGTACAGGCCGAACATTTGATGCGGCCGAAATGGGTTTTAGCCCTGGGAGGCCGAAATTTGAAGGGGCCGACAATTTGTCGACTTACATAGTGATCATGCTTCATGGCGTGATACTTGACGCGATGATGTCGTTCTAGTGGATTTGGCAGCCTGATTGCTCGTTCCTGTAAATCAGAGTTTGATCGTGACATCCCCTGTGTTCCTTTGTGTAACCTGACATAAGTATACGTGGATGCTGCTGTGTATGTTGGTGTGTGTATGTGTGTATGTATGTGTGTGTGTGTGTGTGTGTGTGTGTGTGTGTGTGTGTGTGTGTGTGTGTGTGTGTGTGTGTGTGTGTGTGTGTGTGTGTGTGTGTGTGTGTGTGTGTGTGTGTGTGTGCATACGTGCACGTGTGTATGTTCATATGCACAGTTTGGCAACACACCATTGCACTACGCCGCCATGAATGGTCACACGGAGATGGTATCGCTGCTACACCAAGTCAACGCTAGCGTCCTCACACGTAACAAGGTAGTGACGGAGAATATGCTAGGCATCATGCTACAGTGCCCATTGCGCACTTTGATACTTTTCACAACTGTTAGGTACCTCCTCCCGTTCGTTCTACAACCTTTTCCAAGCTGGCCTGCATGCACCCTCGTACTCATCTTTTGTCTCCTTTTGTCACCTTTTGTTCCGTTGGCCTGGGTAGCTACTTGCACGCCCATATTTGCCATAGCTACCCAGGCCCTTTATCTTGCCGCCCTCACTCGATCTCTCTCTCTCTCTCTCTCTCTCTCTCTCTCTCTCTCTCTCTCTCTCTCTCTCTCTCTCTCTGTTCCACAATGTAGTCCATGACTCCTTTTCGTACCCAACACGACGAACACAGCCGTACTGGAAACCAAGCATAGAACAACGTGTATGTAAGACAATATACAGGGGACGGAGGGACGACTTGCGGATGTACTGGGAGCAATTTAACCCACAACAGTATCCAGATAAGTTTCTATACCTAACATAATGCGTGTGTGCATGTGTGTGTGTGTGTGTGTGTGTGTGTGTGTGTGTGTGTGTGTGTGTGTGTGTGTGTGTGTGTGTGTGTGTGTGTGTGTGTGTGCGTGTGTGTACATGTGTGTACATGTGTGTACATGTTTGTTTACACATGCATGTGTATACAATTATGACTATAGCATGGTGACACACCACTACACGTTGCCACCAGACGAGGTCACCTGAAGGTCGTAGAGCAGCTCACGTTCTCCAGATGTGACTTGCACGCATGCGATACGGTAAGTGTATGCAGCATTACCAACTACCACTGAATCAAGAGTATGTTCTATCCCATAACTTCCCGTACGGTCGCTCCAGACGTGTTACGAACTTGACGTCTTTATTGGTGAAAGGTAAAACGAATTCCTGAGTACAGTAAAACCTGTCTAAGACGACCGCTCAAGGGACCTTCCAAACCTGGTCTCTGTTACCAGGTGGTCTCCTCATCCAGGTTCTTTTGACTGGAAATAGCATCCCTTGGTCCTGGTTTCAGTGGTCTTTTAGGACAGGTGGTCGCCTTATCCCAGTGGTCGCCTTATCCCAGTGGTCGCCTTATCCCAGTGGTCGCCTTATCCCAGTGGTCGCCTTATCCCAGTGGTCGCCTTATCCCAGTGGTCTCCTTATCCCAGTGGTCGCCTTATCCCAGTGGTCTCCTTATCCCAGTGGTCGCCTTATCCCAGTGGTCACCTTATCCCAGTGGTCTCCTTATCCCAGTGGTCTCCTTATCCCAGTGGTCTCCTTATCCCAGTGGTCTCCTTATCCCAGTGGTCTCCTTATCCCAGTGGTCTCCTTATCCCAGTGGTCTCCTTATCCCAGTGGTCTCCTTATCCCAGTGGTCTCCTTATCCCAGTGGTCTCCTTATCCCAGTGGTCTCCTTATCCCAGTGGTCAACTTATCCCAGTGGTCGCCTTATCCCAGTGGTCCCCTTATCCCAGTGGTCTCCTTATCCCAGTGGTCTCCTTATCCCAGTGGTCTCCTTATCCCAGTGGTCTCCTTATCCCAGTGGTCTCCTTATCCCTGTGGTCTCCTTATCCCAGTGGTCACCTTATCCCAGTGGTCGCCTTATCCCAGTGGTCACCTTATCCCAGTGGTCGCCTTATCCCAGTGGTCACCTTATCCCAGTGGTCGCCTTATCCCAGTGGTCTCCTTATCCCAGTGGTCTCCTTATCCCAGTGGTCTCCTTATCCCAGTGGTCTCCTTATCCCAGTGGTCTCCTTATCCCAGTGGTCTCCTTATCCCAGTGGTCTCCTTATCCCAGTGGTCTCCTTATCCCAGTGGTCTCCTTATCCCAGTGGTCTCCTTATCCCAGTGGTCGCCTTATCCCAGTGGTCGCCTTATCCCAGTGGTCGCCTTATCCCAGTGGTCGCCTTATCCCAGTGGTCGCCTTATCCCAGTGGTCGCCTTATCCCAGTGGTCGCCTTATCCCAGTGGTCGCCTTATCCCAGTGGTCGCCTTATCCCAGTGGTCACCTTATCCCAGTGGTCACCTTATCCCAGTGGTCTCCTTATCCCAGTGGTCACCTTATCCCAGTGGTCACCTTATCCCAGTGGTCACCTTATCCCAGTGGTCACCTTATCCCAGTGGTCACCTTATCCCAGTGGTCACCTTATCCCAGTGGTCACCTTATCCCAGTGGTCACCTTATCCCAGTGGTCACCTTATCCCAGTGGTCACCTTATCCCAGTGGTCACCTTATCCCAGTGGTCACCTTATCCCAGTGGTCTCCTTATCTCAGTGGTCTCCTTATCTCAGTGGTCTCCTTATCCCAGTGGTCTCCTTATCCCAGTGGTCTCCTTATCCCAGTGGTCGCCTTATCCCAGTGGTCGCCTTATCCCAGTGGTCGCCTTATCCCAGTGGTCGCCTTATCCCAGTGGTCGCCTTATCCCAGTGGTCTCCTTATCCCAGTGGTCGCCTTATCCCAGTGGTCGCCTTATCCCAGTGGTCGCCTTATCCCAGTGGTCACCTTATCCCAGTGGTCTCCTTATCCCAGTGGTCACCTTATCCCAGTGGCAGTGGTCTCCTTATCCCAGTGGTCACCTTATCCCAGTGGTCACCTTATCCCAGTGGTCACCTTATCCCAGTGGTCACCTTATCCCAGTGGTCTTGTAATAGGTGTATGTATGCTACGACCTGAATACTCACTATTTGTATTTCCCGCTTGTTCCCCTTGGCAATGAGCACTCACATAGAAGAGCGCATGCTCCAGGTTCTGTTCTGTTGTAGTCTAGTCTTGAGTTGTCGTTGTCCTGTTCTCCTTGTCTACACTCTTCTCGAATACTTCTAATTATCCAATCATATAAAACCCCTGTGTTCCGGTGTGAGGGGGCATCATTAGCCGGGAGCAGCTAACACTGGTGGCAGCGGAAAACGTCCACCACTACATCGCTGGCGGAGTATGTACGCCTTCGGAGATCGCCGACTATGAAGTACCACGAAGGCCCACGCAAGTGAAACCATATCCTCATCCACTCTCTTCGTCATTATTTTCCTTTCTGCATTGTGTTTCTTTCTGCTCGTCGTTTTCTTGTTGCATGCATTGTTTACCATGGTTTACAGTCCATAGGTCAAGCATTGGCGCCAACCTGTCTGGCCAAACATTTTCGGAACATTTTCTGTGTCCGTGTTTTGTGCATACTGGCTGCTGTCTAGCCTCTTGTTAGGATATCTGCTAGCTGGGTAGTAGAGTCTAGCTACACTGTGTCCGTAGAGTAGTTGCCTATTTGGAATTGTCTCTGCCAAATTTAGTTGTTTGCCGCTACGCACGATAGGTTACGTAATAGATTTAGATTTAGATCGATAGTTGATCGAGGCGTCGATCGAGTCCACGGGAAATTTTTGCAGATAATTTTTTTTCGAAAATTCAAAAATACAAAAACAAATTTTTTTTCACAATGGGCCGTTCAGCGAAATCCAAGAGACAAGAAAAGCTAGAGCGTAGCTTCGCTGAAGCTGGCTGTGACATGAGCATTGCTGAAGAGCGCGAGAGTTCGCCGGTACAAGGGTTGTCCCATCGTTTTCGTTTGCCGGACACAGACACACCACATGCACGTCCACTGCCGAAGCCAGTTTTGCTTCCTGAGACATTCGGAAATCAGCCAGGCCAAGATTTCACCACGTACATGAGGCATTTCGTCCACACATGCGAGTTGAGTGGGTACGACGACGACCAAAAGCTACGGCTACTACCTGCTCGCCTTGTTGGTACAGCTCATGAGATGTTCACCGAAATTCTAACTCACACGCCTGACATGAACTTTTCCGACACAGTCGAGGCTCTGCATGTCCGTCTTGAGCCGCCCCAGCAAGCATTGATGCACGAGGCCAGTCTTCGCCAGCGAGTGAAGCTGGCGAGTGAAACTCAGCACGGGTATGCCACGGAACTTCGTCGGCTCGCTCGTCGAGCCTACCCAGGACAACAAGGTGCACTGCTTGATTCAATGCTTTTGCAACTTTTTATTGATGGCCAGGCATCGAAGGATTTGCGCTTGGCGTTGGCGTCACCTCGGCCCACTGATTTGGATGCGGCGGTCCAAAAGGCCATCGAGGTAGGTGCTATTTATGCTCGCGAGCAGGCCCGCACCGTACCTTACCAGTATGCACAGCCCGTATTTGCTGCTGCTCCGGAAGTGAAGCCCCGTCGCACTGCTCATGGTCGTGACCCCTACGCAGCAGTCGGTCCACTGAAGTCGGAATCTGAGCGAGACCAGTTGGCTTCGCTTTTGTCGAGTTTTGATTCGCGTCTCTCTGCTTTGGAGGCGAAAATGGAGAGCGTGAGTCTGTATCGCCCCACCCGACCCCAGCAAGACCATGTACGTTTTGTTGCTCGTGGTGCTGGTGCTGGTGCGCCTAGTCGTGGTCGTGGCCAGAGTTTTGCTACAAGGCCTGTGCGTGGAGTGTGCCATGGATGTGGTGAAGAGGGCCACTTCATTGCATCTTGCCCGCACGCAAAAAACTAGGTTGGACTGGTGACACGGGGCCGCCGTCAGTCGTCCGAGTGGAGCCCCTCGAGGAGGTATGTGGTGCGATCTCACCCATTATTGTACACGTTGATGTTTGTCTTTCGTCTTCGTATTCGTCTCCTGTTGTTGCTCTTGTTGATTCTGGTTCAAGTGTGTCGTTAGTGCATTCTAAATTGTTGCCTAATTTGACAGAGCGACCTCCTCTAGAGTCGGCTCCGCGGTTGTGTGCAGTCAATGGCGCACAACTTCCTGTCGTTGGATCCATGGATCTGTGTATGTCGCTAGGAAATCTGTCTTTCCAGCACACGGTTGTTGTGTCTCCTGGTATTCACTGTGACATGATTCTTGGTTCCGATTTTTTGTTGCAGCATGGTGGTGTATTAGATATTGCTCGTGGTGTTGTGATGTTTGGCGATGTGTCTGTTCCGTTGCATGTTTCTGGTTCCGGGTGTCCTCCGTCACGTACGCCCTATGGCTATGATCGTATTGTTCCGCGTAATACTTCCCCCTCATGTAATAGTACTCATACTCCTCATTCTGATTCTGATGCATGCTCCGACGATGTACCTGTTTCGTCGTATTCTTCTCGTGTTGCCCTTGACGATTCATTGTCTGCACGGGTTGTTGAACCCATGGCTCAACCTGGCGTTGTCCCGGCGTGTGCGCCCGAAAGTGTGGCCGACCCTGTGGTATACTCATCTCGTGTGGTGTTTGAGATGGAGTTGTCGGTACCTGCAGGACATGTTGTCTTGGTGCCTTGTGCAGCTGTTGATGTGTGCACGGTTGCGATGGATTGCGTGGCAGATCCATTGGAGTCCTTTATGGCGAAGCATCCAGATGTGGCAGTGACTCCTAGTCTTGTAACTGTTGGCCCTAACCAAACACGTGTGGTTGTGGCTGTTGAAAATCATGCAAATCATCCTATACTCATTCATAAAAATACCAATGTTGCCGAACTTCATCAAATTCCTACAGATTGTGAACATATTGACGACACTGAAGCTATGGTTTCCTCAGTTTCACCCGACCCGATCCCGCTAACTGAGCAACGCAAGAAAGTCATCGATGAATATATCAACGCACAAAATCATCTCTCCACAGAACAGTCTCGCACGCTCACTGAACTACTTCATGATAACCACGATTTATTTATCTTGCATGATGATGACTATGGCTACTGTGACATATTCCCTCATAAAATTAACACAGGACAAAATAACCCTATAAAACAACCTACCCGGCGGACTCCATATCACCGCCGGAAGGCTCTGCAAGATCTACTGAATACGCTGTTAAAGCAAGGCATAATACAAGAATCGATTAGTCCGTGGGCATCACCCATAGTATTGGTGCCAAAGAAGGATGGCTCTCTTCGACTCTGTATTGACTACAGGAAGTTGAACTCTGTCACCGAGCCTGATGCTTACCCGATTCCCCGGGCGGATGACATGCTTGATTCCCTGTCTGGCTGTCGGTATTTCACGTCCCTTGACTTAGCGTCCGGGTACTGGCAAATAGCAATGGAAGGAAGCGACAAGGCTAAGACGGCATTTACCACGCCACTGGGCTTGTTTGAGTTTAATGTTCTGCCGATGGGCTGCAGGAATGGCCCAGCGACATTTCAGCGCGTAATGGAAGCAGTCCTGAGTGGCTTATGTAACACACCGGTCCAGCCATTCTGCCGTGTGTTCTTTGATGATGTCCTGAATGCCAGCGAAACGCTGTCTGGCCAACTCCAGATTCTGCTGCCCGTGTTCGCGCGAGTTCGGTCCGCTGGACTGCGGTTCAATCTGAAGAAATGCTCCTTCTTCCAGGAGGAGGTCACTTTCTTAGGACACCGCGTGTCAGCGGAGGGCATCTCCCCGAATGAAGCCAAACTCGTCGCGGTCAGGAACTGGAAGACTCCGAAATCTGTCACAGCTGTCCGCGAGTTCCTTGGCTTCGCTGGATATTATCGCCGCTTCATCCGTGGGTTCGCCCAGCGTGCTGCTCCGCTGACTGCTCTGACAGGCAAGAATGCTCGCTTTGCATGGTCGAAAGCTTGCGAAGCGGCGTTCCAGGCTCTGAAGCGTTCGCTTGCCAGTGCGCCGGTGATGGCGTACCCCCAGTTTGAAGATTCAGCAGGTGCATTCATTCTGGACACCGATGCGAGCAATGTGTCGATTGGTGCAGTCCTCAGTCAGATCCAGGATGGAACTGAGCGACCAATTGGGTACGGCAGCCGTGTACTGACGAAAGCTGAGCGCAACTACGATGCTAGCGATCGTGAGGCCCTTGCTCTGGTCTATTTTGCGGAGTATTTCAGGCACTACTTGTTGGCACGACCATTTGTTGCCAGGACGGACAATACTGCGTTGACTGCACTCCGGAACCTGAAGGAACCCCGCGGACGGAAAGCACGTTGGCTTGACTGTTTATCCGAATATGAATTCCGAGTCGTCCACCGTCCAGGTCGCCAACATCTGAATGCCGATGCTATGTCCCGCGTGGTGACCGATGTGCCGTCTCCTCCGCCGAGTCCGCCGCCTCTTGCCCGTGATGTTCCGTTGTCAGCTGCTGATGAAGTGCCACTTGCTGTTGATGTTCCTCCGGCTGCTGAGATTATTCCTCCGGCCGTTTTTGTTCGTCCTCCTGGTTCCTCTGCTGCTGGACCGTTGCCGGATTGTTACAAGCCTCAGAGTCTTCTTGCTCCGTATGCTGATCCTGCTCTGTCTGAGTGTTTCACCCGATATGATGCTGCCAGTGGCAAGTTTGTTCGTCCGCCTGAAGCCGTTTCCCGTCCTCCCGACTGTCAACCGCCTGCCGTTACTGCTTCTCGTCCTGACCCGATTACGCTGCCTGATGATGATTTGCCGCGCTGCGTTCCGCCGCTACAGCCACCGTCGTCTGATCCGGTCCGTACTTCTTCTCCTGTTTCTCGTCGTTCTGGCCGTGTCCGCACTGCACCTGCTCGACTAGCTGACTATGTCCTGGACTGAGTTTATTATTTGGTTTGTTTTCTTTTGTTGTTTCCTAGGTATTTCGTTCATTCCCGTGGACGTGAATTTTAGCTAGGGGGGCACAGTGTAATAGGTGTATGTATGCTACGACCTGAATACTCACTATTTGTATTTCCCGCTTGTTCCCCTTGGCAATGAGCACTCACATAGAAGAGCGCATGCTCCAGGTTCTGTTCTGTTGTAGTCTAGTCTTGAGTTGTCGTTGTCCTGTTCTCCTTGTCTACACTCTTCTCGAATACTTCTAATTATCCAATCATATAAAACCCCTGTGTTCCGGTGTGAGGGGGCATCATTAGCCGGGAGCAGCTAACAGTCTCCTTATCCCAGTGGTCACCTTATCCCAGTGGTCACCTTATCCCAGTGGTCACCTTATCCCAGTGGTCACCTTATCCCAGTGGTCACCTTATCCCAGTGGTCACCTTATCCCAGTGGTCTCCTTATCCCAGTGGTCACCTTATCCCAGTGGTCACCTTATCCCAGTGGTCACCTTATCCCAGTGGTCACCTTATCCCAGTGGTCTCCTTATCCCAGTGGTCACCTTATCCCAGTGGTCACCTTATCCCAGTGGTCTCCTTATCCCAGTGGTCTCCTTATCCCAGTGGTCGCCTTATCCCAGTGGTCACCTTATCCCAGTGGTCACCTTATCCCAGTGGTCACCTTATCCCAGTGGTCACCTTGACAGATTTTACTGTAGTTTCTATCGTTTGTGATCCACTAAGGGAGTGAGTTTCCTGTTTGTGTGTTGTTTGTGTGTTTGTGTGTATGCAGTGCAGAAGAACACCATGATGTTCTGTTAGTGTCCTGTTAATTATTCGTATTGTGTGGTTTGTACATGCACTGTTTCCCTCTCTGCCTGGCATGCATGAGCCGTGTGCTGCTGCTGGTGCTGTTGGTGCCTGGGGAAGAAAAGCGAATGTAGGAAGTGCATAGGTGAACAGACCACACAAAATAGGTGCACTCGGTTCTTGGGTATCTTTGAAGCACATTAGGGGTCGTCCACAAATATCGATATTTTTTAGAGAAGATATTCGTTCGTTTGGGGGGGGGGGGGGGGGGCGGTTTGGGCCCTGTTCGTCTCGTCTTTGTGAAAAAAAACGAACCCTATCTATGGACGGGCACTGTGCAAACATGTAGTTTATGACCTACACAAAGTGAAAGTCAACCTCGTGAATACACGGATATATCCACGGCAAAGTTGTGTGACCGTGGCAACGTAAACCTAGGTGTATGGTGAATTTAGAGTTGCATGCAGCTGGTCACGTTTCAAGAAGAGATTGCTCTTCATTAAAAAATATCGATCCTCTGCATAAACATGTGTATGTTCGTTTTGAGGGGGGAGGGAGAAATGAACAAATATTGTCTTTAAAAAAATATCGATATTTACGGACGGCCCCTTACTGAAATTCTGTGTAAACCCTGTCAGCCGCCATTCAGTGGAATATTTCAACGTTGCATGCCGTTTCAGCCTTGCCTCAGTGGGTTTTTCAAAGATTCTACCTGGCGCTTCGTAGGCTTACTCTTTCTGTAAAATCTCATCCACTGATAAGTTTCCTCGGAGGCAGGAATGCGATAACACTGAGAAAAAGGACACCACCCTTCAGGCTCTTGAGCAACATCTCGAAGCTCCATTCTTGTTTTCAGGTGTTCATTGTGTGTTTCTTTGGCTGTTGTCTGGTTACCCAACTCCTGTGTTGATTGTGCAGAATGGAAACACGGCTTGCCATGTGGCATCGTTCTACGGCCGTAGCCTAGTGCTTCGCCATCTACTATCCCTCGGCGCACCGATCAATCGGCAAAATGAGGTAGACTTCTGTTGATTGTTATTGTCTTTGGTCCCAGGGAGAGTATAGGGAGAGTTTAATTGTAAAAGAAGAAGAAAAAAGTGCATTGAAGTCGCACTTTCAGCCTCAGCTGGTTGTGGGTGTTCGATAATTTATTCGCGAGCTTTGTCAAACGAGTGCTACACCACATGAGCCGCGCCAAGCTAAAAAGTGGCTTAGCATTTTGCCAACAAATCGAGAAAATCACCAAAACGTCACAGTCGGCAAAATTCTACTCGAGCGCAGTCGCGAAAATATTCACTTTCGAGCACCCTTTGAAACTTTCAAGTAAAATAGTTTGCAAGTGGAGAAGAAGAAAGAGGCCTTTTATTTTTGAGCAACACTTCTTCAGTGTTCCCTCTTTCATCGTTGTGGGGATTTCTTGCCCCTGCCAGAGATCGTAATGAAGCGTTCTGGAGAATGTGGAGGTGAGCAGGATGACACTCTGTCTCCGTGTGCGCCCAACCCCACTTGACGAGGAAGATTCGCTCATTCATAGTGGCCGTGTTTCTCATCGTGGCCACGACTAGAGCGGCTAGTATAGCTATGGGGAGACGTGTACAAGCCGTCCGACTATCATTCTGACAAGCTGCCTAGTGAGTTGGCGCTTGCTGCGATGTTTCACTTGGTTTCGGAACCTTCAAATGTTCATGACGTGGCGTACTGTATTCCAAAATTTCCTCATTTCAAGGCCAATGGTGCCACACGACGAAGCGACGAATTGACTCTACCTGTAAGCATTATTGTGGTGCCTTCTACCACTACCTGCACCAGGGAAGGAGAATGACATGGACTAGGACGGACAAGGAATCAGTGCCGCTTTTTAGCGATGTGCTGTCTGCTAGACCTACACGTACGTGCAAGGGACGGATGGAGCTCGATCTCTGGCACAACACTACGAGCTACATGAAAGGATTAATTCATGCTGGCATAGGTGATCGGAGAGAGTAACGGACTGTCTTGGTAAGACTTAGATGCGACGTATCCCAGCCCAGCGAAAATATAGTCACAGACTCACAACATCATTGAAGGATATGAAAATTCGTGGTGCGTGAAGAAATGACATGAGATACATAGATCAATTATTTATTCTTTCTTTGGATCTTCTAATTAGAACACAAGTGCTCATTCTTCTTGTATTGCTTCCACACCTGCTAAGCTTGGTCTCCACTTGGTGTCCCATGATTTTGGGAGTTTGGGCCGGTCTTCAAATCCTTAGTGTCATTGATACCAGGTATGCTGTGACATGTGCGCAATGTATACGTATTTATGGCACATATACATTTCAGATGGGCACCAAAATTTTCCTGATGGAAGTTGGATAGGTAGACATCACTTTGGCATGGAAAAAGAAATTTCCAAAAATTATGCCTAAGCCACCTTTTTGCTTGGCTCGGCTCACATAGTGATGCAATACATTAGGCGAAGGTTAGGCCCAGCGGCCTAAACGGTTTATTCTGGCGCCGACTGTGTTTGCATTTATCACATGAGCATTGCTGTGTTGCGAGCGGTTTGTATCCATGGAGTAACAGCTCTATCACGCTTGCATGTGCCACGTAACCAAAACCATTCACGGTTCGCGTCAGACTCGGCTAGAGGCCGAGTTTTCCGCAACCGTAGCAGGAGCGTCGCACACGGTACGGTCACTACGGTATTGACCGTACCACTATTTGCCCCAAGTACCCCGTGAATCAATAAATTCCACCGATTTGGCCTCTAAAATTCAAAAATTTTCGGCTCAGCCATCCCTCCCCCACGAGTAAATGGTACTTCAGATGGCTGACCGTTCCACACAAAAATACCTTCCGACGCCCCTGCGTAGGAACGCCACCGCCCTTCAACGATCAAGGCGCATGTGACGAAGCGGTCATGGATAATGCATGTGTTTGGTTGTCTGCGTGTGGCACACAGCTTCTTTGTCCGACCTTGTCAGGACGCATCGATGACGACAGTCAAGCGTGGGGGCCTGTTAGAAGTTTTCTGCAGTTGAGCTCGATGAAATCTGACCCGAAGTGCATATTTGGGGACATCACTTATACGGCCCTTGACGCCCTGAATGCGGCTGGACGTACACACATTCCAAATACAATGATGCAATCTGAACTGGTCCATGGCGCCAGTTTGCACTTTGGGTCGGGTTTCACCGAGCGCAACTCTTGTTCTATAGGAAGTTATATTAATGTTTGTTTGTTCGTTAGGGTGGTGGCGTTCCTACGGAGACGGAAAGCTTGGCTTCCAGCCATGCCTCACGCGAACCGTGAACATTTTTTATGTTTATGTTTTGCCTAATGATTGCGAAAGCAGGAAACTTTGAGTAGCAGCACACAAGCCTTGATCGCCCGTGTTGTTCTGTATGTTCACGATCTTGTATGTGTACATGTGTGGCAATAGGCGTGGGTTCGAATCCCACTTCTGACACCATGTTGCATTCCGAGAAAGCACCTAAAAACTCCAGTCTGCTCTCGAGATCACTCATATCGCAACTGACTTTATTCACACTGAATGAATGCCGTTGTGGTTATGCCTGCATTTTTCACTTGCTGTTAGGATGGTGACACGTGTCTGCACCTGGCCGCACGGCACAATCGCATCCAGTGTGTGCAGGAGCTGCTGAATTCCAATGCTTACGACAACATACCTAACAAGGTCAGTGTCAGTGGCATGCATTTTGTATTTGTGTTTGTATTAAATGGATTCTCCACAGGCCTTAGCCTAAATCGAGGGAGTCTCTGCCAACAGCTTATGAAGCAGAAGAAGCTGAGGAGAAAAATGGAAATGAAAAGCTGTGGCGTATCGTCTTCCGTATTCCATTCCCCCCCCCTCTGTTCTTTGCATTATACAATCTGCCACAATTTGACGCTCATATTGTCTCACGCATCATACGGTAGCTGATCTGGGGAAAAAAACCTGTTATGTGATTGCTAGCGAAGTTTCATTGTGGTCCGGTGAACAACTGCGGAGTACCGACTGCACATTTGAGTGCACATTCCAACGTACAACAATAATTATGTGTATGTGTGTGTGTGTGTGTGTGTGTGTGTGTGTGTGTGTGTGTGTGTATGTGTGTGTATGTGTGTGTATGTGTGTGTGTGTGTGTGTGTGTGTGTGTGTGTATGAGTGTGTGAGTATGAGTGTGTGAGTATGAGTGTGTGAGTGTGTGTGCGTGTGCGTGAGCGAGCGCACATACATGCTTGTGTTTGCATATTTACATGTGTGCCCGTGTGGTCTTATGCGTGCATGCGTGCGTGAATCTACATGCGTGCATGTGCACAGAAAGCGGAATTCCCCATTGCAACGGCCGGTGCGATAGCCCGTCCCCGACTAGAGGACTGGCAGGAGGAACTCACGTACTCCGCGCTGATGCGTTTCGGCCCCGCCGAGAACAAACACACGCCGATCGTGGTGTACGGCGAGAGCGAAGCCGGCAAAACGGCCCTGATCGACTCGATGTGCCGTCACAAGTCCAATCCGGGCCTGCTGAGCAGCAGCGAAACGATCTACAGTACGGATCACCTGCCAACGCTGGGCATACACATTCGCGAAACCAAACTGGGCTCGAAGATCAAGTCGGTAAGCGTCCTGTGAACGCCGTTGTCTTGGTTCAGCTAGGTGATACTCTGTTCAGTCTTTCTCTGAGTGTGTGTCCGCACAAAAGCAGATCTGAAGCGGATGATGGTGATTCATGAGATTTAAGATGGACTTATGTCCAGTTTTTTTCTTTTCGATTTTAGCGTAGAATGGAATGGTGACACATCGGCTCTGCACGTATCCACACGCCTGGTTGAGCAGAGTATAGTTATGTTGGAAGGACACATTGTTTAGCAGCCTCTTTGAATCTTCCCAGTCACTTACTAATCTAAAAAAAGAAGGAAATTATAATGTCCGTTCCCCAAGGGAACTCACGACGGCCGCTAACACCCCGGTAAACCTAGCGGCAGATGCCGCGCCTAATAACTTCCTAACCAAACGACGTCATGCAACTCATGTTCCTAGTCTAATGACATCATGTTTCTGTTCTAGTGATGTCATTCTCATGAAAAAATGTCTCCTGTCAGATAGTTTCTTTTTAAAAGCATGAAACTCTGAGTGGAAAGATATATATTTTTAATTCCACTGGATGCTCGTTTGCACTGACGCTCTGCACGTCATGTATGGTGCACTGTGACCAGTAGTAAAGGTTCTCCTGTGTCTTCATCACGTTATGATGCAATGCTGTTATGGTTTCTTGGCATTAGGTGATGCGTATAGTGGAGGCGTCGGGGCACCACGACTTCCGCGCTCTGTGCGCGCCGTGCCTGCGCATACCGCGCGCCATCCACGTGCTGGTGCTCAACCAGCGCTGCGGCTACGACGAGCTGCAGGCGCACGCCACCGCCTGGCTGGACTTGGCGCGCATTTGCATGTCGCGCACGTCGCAGGGACGCGCGCTGCGCCTGCGCGTGCCGCTCATCCTGGTGTTCAGCAACGTGGACAGCTCGGCGCTGCGCGTCACCAAGAACCCGAAGAACAACCTCAACTCCACCAACGTTGCCGAGCGGGTAAGGTCACCTCTTGTTGTGATGACCGGTGTGTTGAAACGGGACGACATACAGTTGCGCTCGGCGAAATCAGACCAAGAGTGCACATTCGGAGCCCTCAACTTGCACGGCCCCTGACGCCCTGGAAGTGGCACGAATGCGGCTGGACTTACGCACGTACAAATACAAAGATGTAATCGTAACTGGTACAGCGCGCCAGCTTTACACTTTGGGTCGGATTTCACCGAGCGCAACTGTCGTTCTGTCTACAGGGTGATATCACTCAATCTCCTGACACCTGCAGCTGCTTAACCCTTTGAGGACGAAGGACGAATATATCCGTTTTTTCAGGTATAGCTGGATTCCTAAAGACAAGTATATCCGTTTTTGAGAAAATTGCGATATCGATATATTTTTAGGTGCTTGAAGTCGCTCTTATGTTGCTCAGACGAGTACGATCTGATTCTTCGTCAAGGTGAGACATGTCGCAGTCGATCTGCGTCGGTCCCGTGGAGAACTGGCCACATTCGAGTATACTTAGAGAATGCGCCGATCGAGAAATTATTCGGAATTTGAAACTAACTTGTTACTTTGTTGAGAGTGCCGATGGCATGTAACCTGTCAAGAGTCTCCTTGTCTCAGGCCCTCGGCATTATCTTTATGAGCAGCGATAGTGAGGATGAACAGTGTGATCCGTTTTACTTTTCTGAGGATGACAGCGAGGTCGATGTTGGCTAAATTCGTGGCGATACCGCTGAGGCATTTTTCGCAACATACACCTATTTTGAATTGACCATTCTGATCTCTATAATGGATGATGTTGAAACTTTGGTTTTGTTGCCCACTGATGTCTATGTCTCTTTAGAACCAAATTTTATGACACTAGATCAATTTTTGAAAATACCGATTTTTCGCCTGAAAATGGTAGGAGTCCAGGTGGTTTTGGGTAGTCCTCAAAGGGTTAAATAGCGGCGGGGAGAGGTGAGAGATTGGCCCGTAGATAAGAAGGCATGTTGACAAGTAAGGTGCTTGGTGATAGTGTGAAAGTAAGGTGTTAGATATGGCACATAGATGTGGTCATGTAACAAAGTGTAAAGAGGAAAATTGTCACACTACCCCACCGGTCTCACTCGACTAATTCCGCTTCTTGTCCTCTGCATACCCCTGTTTTCCTTCGGCTCTTCATGCTTGATTCTAGTACAATGCTGCTCAATGAAATCTGATTGTGTGCGTCAAAGTTTCCACCCTGCACCGGTGTTCGCAGGTCCGGTGCTTCACAGCGCCGGGCATAGCATTGCCGCGTTTGATCGGTTGTTGTTGAGTAGCGCCGTACATACATGTATTGCTCTGAAAATGTCTCTCCTTTGTGTTCACTTTCTGCCTTTCCTGTGCCTGTCTGCTGTCATCTACCTCTTGTTGTCTTCATACATGTTTGGCACAACAGATGTTCAATGAGCTCCAGCCAAGGTACAAGGAGTGGTTCGACTTTGGTCCGTCACCTTGTGTTATGGATTGCCGCGTCCCGTTTAGTGCCGAAATGGACATGATCGCAGAGCGACTCTTTCTGGCCAGAAAGTCCATACTCAAGGTATGTCGCATCTCAGTCTGTTCCTTGCCTTTCCTGTGCATTTCCACAATCTATGTGTCGCATGTGTGGATGTGCACGTGCACATACGTATACATGTATTGTGAAAAGAAGAAGGACAAAATGTTACGAGTTATGACTAACTAACCACCAACGTAACCAGATCTTCTACAGCCAGCGAGTGCGACAAAATGGCACAAAACTGACAAGGAGTGCTGAGACACTCGGCGACCTGCATTCTTTTCACGATAATTTAATTGGCTCACCATCCGAGTTACAGTATACATGTATGTGCATGATTGTATACATATGTATGTGCACGTGTGTTCATGTGTGTGTATTGCTAACACTTCCTTATGTACAGCTTGTAGGTAGTCTGATGTTGTAGCAATACCGTAAAGTCCCGCCAGAGCGCCCCTACCTCCGCAACCATTCCAGTGGGTCCATTTGGGGAGGGACGGATGGGCAAGTCATACTTCCCTCATTCAGTACTACATGAAAAAGTACTCACCCTACGAAATCTGTGCGTGCGTCTCGTACGCCGACCAAAGCTGAGAGTCGTACAGACCCATCAAAAACAAGGTTTTGTGCGATTTCTGGTCAAGAGGGTGGGAACTGTTGCGTACATTTCCAACCGGGTCGAGGACGCGTCTGCACTACAGTCCGGCGTTACACCCTTCACAGAGTCATGCGAGGATACAGTCATTATCACCTCCCTGGCAAGAAGTCAGGGAGGGGCGCATGGGAGAGACGGGGCGCAAGGGAGAGACGGGGCGCATGGGAGAGACGGGGCGCATGGGAGAGACGGGGCGCATGGGAGAGACGGGGCGCATGGGAGAGACGGGGCGCATGGGAGAGACGGGGCGCATGGGAGAGACGGGGCGCATGGGAGAGACGGGGCGCATGGGAGAGACGGGGCGCATGGGAGAGACGGGGCGCATGGGAGAGACGGGGTGCTCTGGCGGGATATTGCGGTACATGTATATGGTTACGGTGGATCGCACTTTCTATAATTTGTCTGAGCGTAGTGATCTCAGACAATAATCGAGGGTCACATGTGCCTCGACCCTTGAGCGTGATAGCGTTCCCATGGATGGGGAATACTCAGTGTAACCGAGTCTCACGCGAACCGTGAAACGCTCTTTCTCAGATCTTGCACCAACAGGCATTCTGTGAAAGGAACTCGGGTGGACACATCCATTCCCATAGCGCTGCACTATGGGAATGGATGTGTCCACCCGGATTCCTTTCACAAATGAAGCTGCAGGAAGCCTTAGCCCTTCTTCACAACTGGCATTCTACTGTGCATCTACTGAACACATTGTCTGTATTTTATACTGGTGTCTGCAGGAGGCCAAGGACGTGCCGAGGATCGTCGAGAAGATTGAATCGCTGGTCTCCAAGATATCACGCAAGGCCAAGCAGCCATGGGTGCCCTGGGAGACCTTCCAGGTCGAGGCCGGCAAGAAGTTCTTTCACAGCGAGGATCGCACTCGCACGGAGGCCGAGGTATTCCTGAGGCGCGCCGTGGGATTTCTACACAAGGAACTGAAGGTAAGTTACATGCAAGAGATCAGTACTGTAGACTGCTTAAACAGCCTGTGCCCCTCGTGGTGAAGGCTGTTTCCATGAGGTTTGGATGAGAAGAGTGTTCGGATAAGGGAGCAGTCACACATCTATCTAAAACATCGAATTTCCGGATAGTTGACGGCCGGATAATCGGCGTTCTGCTGTATTGTAGAAAACCCTCATGAAGCTGGTATGGAATAAGTCGATGTTTCATTTTTGCATTCCAAGTCCGGCACGATTGGCTGATGAGCCGGATTTATTACAAGTCTAATCCGAATCGAACTCCTTTTAATTATAGTCGTCATGTTAATATTGTTCTTGTTCCTAACGCCCTCTATTGGCATCTGACTTACATGGTTGATTAGCTTTTTTGTGCTTACTTTCCTTCTAGTATGATACTTCCCAGGGGCGTAGCTTGCACATCTGTGGTGTAGTGACTATAACACCAGAGTGCATCTGTGGTGTGGTGACTATGTGCCAGATCACATCTGTGGTGTGGTGATCATGTACCACTAGCAACCCCACAACCTACGAGAGCTTGCTTTGCTGGTGCGGTGACTAGGCACCGGCGGATTCTGCTCGAAAAGGTGGGCAGATTCTGCTCGAAAAGCAGAGAAATTGGCAGAACCATGCAAACCTTATGGCGGGCAATTCCTCGAATTCTGCTCCATTTCTTTATTCACGTACCAAACATGCATGAAACTTACCAGAAAAAGTACCGAAATCTGCCAATATTTCTGCCGTCATTATCCGCAAAGGCCTAGAGGTGACCAGACTATGCTGATTACACACGAGCTACGCGCCTGCTTGCTCTTGTGATTGGCTTCTCGGGAGTCTTACTGAGTCTTTGTTGATTCTGCTGTCAGGTGTGGTACGGTGAGCCATCTGAAGTTAGTGACTACACCCAATTTCCAAAACTTGCTCCGATCGCTTCGATTTTGGTCTCATTCGATTCTCCCAGGCGTAGTACATAGGAAATCTGCAAGTATTATTCAAATCGGCCCAGCCATTCTTGAGTTATAGTGATTTGAAGTGCGCCAAGTTGGACTTTCGCCGGAAACAGAAATGAATGGGAGTGATGGGAGAATCGAGACCGACCGCACACTCAGTGCATGCAGTACAGTGTACAGTGCACACGCCTCGTCACTCGAACTGCGCGTACGAAATTGCATACTTTCGTATGCTGGCGCAGAACAAATTCGCTCGTAGAGGAAGACGAAAGCTTCTCACCGCCTTGTAAGTTCACATGGCTAGTAGTTTTTTGACGCTGAAGACGATGGACTAGTCCGCGACGCTGCGACCCGACCAGAACAACCCGAAATTAATACCCTGAAAAAGCGCGGAGCGCAGAGCTCGTAAATTTTGTCGTATGGAAACGGGACTTCGGGTCTCAAGGGCACGAACATCTCCTCTCTCAGATAAAGCAATCCACTCGATGCGATATTCTACAATTTGACCTGGCCACGCCGAAAAGCACTGCGATGTCGGATTCTCCCATCGGAAGTATAGAAACTTGTTTCCAAAAAATCAGCGTCTGGGTGCGAGGGAGTAAAGTCACTACTGAAGTACAATTTATTCGTGGGGGGGGGGGGGAGGGGTTGCTGAGGCGAGAACTTTGGAAATTTAAATAAATAATAAATTTTTGGAAATTTAGATCCCGTAAATTATGAGTGTATTTTATTAATTCACGGGGTGCCTGAGACGAAAAGTGGTGCGGTCAATACCGTAGTGACCGCACTGAGTCCGCCGCCCCTGGCTGTCTACTCTATCTCCTGTTGTTGTTGTTGTGTCAGGTGATTTCATTCAGCACTGGACCGGCCAAGAACTTCATCGTCCTGGATACAAACTGGTTCTTTGAGAAAGTGTTGCCACAACTAACGGCGCACGCCAAGCGACCTGTCGGTTTGAAGCCATTGACGTCTGATGACGAGGGTAGGTTTCCGCTGGAATTGACAATGGCATTAGCCATGAATTGTGAAGCAAACCTTTCTCTTATTTGCTCACTTCCACTCTCTTAATTCACACTGTTGTGGGACGTATCCACTCACCCCCATTGTAAGGCGCTGCATCTGCTGCTACGGTTTACCGGGTGTTAGCGGCCGTCATGTGTTCCCTTCGGGAAGTTGAAATGATTTGTCGCGAAACAGTTTCACATCTGGCCACGGCCAACTACCCTTCACTTTGTGTGTTGTCGCTATTGCTGTCTATGTCTCTGTATGTGCCAGAATATGTGGAGCGAGAACGGACGCGATAATTTACTTTTACTTTTTGATCCACAATGCTCGCATTCTCCTGCTCGTCACCAACATATTGTATATTGTGTGTACCGCTCTCTCTCTCCCCTATCAAAGGCCACATGTTCATTTCTGAGTTTGAGGCCATCATGGCGTCCATCGTCGGAAATCAGCCCGTCAGCGGTATGATTGCACTGCTGAGACAAATGGAGCTGCTCCACCTTCTCCGCGGCGATGAGCTGCGTGTGCTGATGCCCAGCTGGATCCCGTTCGCCAACAACTCGCCCGGTCCGTACCTGCGCGAGCGCGTGGCGTTTGCCGGTCGTCGTCTGAAGCTCGGCGGCATATCGGCGCGCTGCGCAGTGCCGCTGGTCAATGCCCTGGTGCTGGGCATGCTGGAGGAGTACCCTGACTTCACCGCATCCGTCTGGCCACTGGGCATTCGCATGGTCAACTTGGTGAGTTGCCTGTCACTATTTTTAAAAGGTTTTGTTATGTCGAACACAACCATTTACTAAGAACCCTCCAACATCCTCTGCAGCATTTTCTTTCCACTTGTTAGCACTTCACACCCTCCGAACAGGCCCTGAGCCCCTCTGACCCTGACCGGCACGGTAATGAGTGTACCTCGGTCTATGTGTTTGTCAGGTGTACACTGCTGTCTGGCTTTGGTCTCTTTGTGTTTTGCGCGCGCGCGCGCGCCTGTGTGTGTGTGTGTATCCCTCATAGTGCCCATGCTTGGGTGGAGGGTGGTGTGACCCGTTTGGGTAGCTGTGTCATGGTAGTAGCAGTATAGTCCTCCTCAATGAAATCCCGTCGCGTCACTCAAGTGTGAGCCTATTTCGCAGCCCAGTGTTCGCTGGTCTAGGGTGTGTGTATATGTGTATGTGTGTATGTGTTTGTGTGTATGTTCCTACGTGCATGCATTCAATGGCTTCACAGATCGAAAGTTCTGCCGTGGAGATCAGTGTGGAGCTTGGTGAGCAGCGGTCTCATGGCATGTTGCTGGTCTACGCCACCAGCAATCTGTCTGAGGACCTTGCCAGTGAGCCACTGAAGGCACTACTTGGCGACGTGTTAGAGGTACTGCAGCTACGTTTGCAGACCGAGGCACCGTCAATCAGCGTGGAGGTGGCCGCTCTCAGCCAGGCCCAACTGCCACAAGTCCGGCGAGGATCCATAGACACGATCTCCAGTAAGACATAGCGTAACATGAATGTCAAACTTGCCTTCAATGTCATCGTTGTATTCCTGTGATTGTCTTGCAGGGCAAGTCGTACGGTATCGCCGTAATCCTGTAATTGTTACGTTGTGCAAGTCAGGGTATGGAGAATAAAACGGCACCAGTTCGCTCCTCCCTGGATCGGTCACCCTAGATAAGCCTCACTGTAATGACTGACTGGTTAAGTACCTGAAAGGTGGTGCATGCTCAGTTTCCAATCCAGGCCTGTCTCTGTACTAGCTGAACAAAGTATAGGTCCTGTACACATGCGCAGGTAGACTATTTGCAGTGGAGTACATATCCTCATTTTTAAACATAATTCCTAAATTTTGCTGGGGGAGTTATATTCATAAGGTCGAGGAAGTTGAAACGGGAAAAATTCTGAGGAAAAATTGACCCGACCGCCACCAACCATTTGCCTAATAGTTTGTACATGAAAACAACTGTGTCCTAGTTTCGTAAACTTGGAATAATTCCGAGTTTAATGCCGTGAGGCAATGATCAGGCAACTCATTTGTCTGATGATGCCGTATGACATACAACTCGGAGTTACAATTACAGTAAAACCTGCAACTAAAGACCACCGTGACTAGCGACCAGCCTGCTACTACAGACCACTTGGCCAGGCACGGACGGTCTCACATTCAAAATGCGCTGTGACTAGCGACTACCTGCTGAACGCGACCAGCGACCGCCTTTTCTTGTCCCAAAGACGATTTTTGACCCGTAACTAGCGACCGCGATGGAGAAAATCAAATGTTGCTCGAAGCTCCTTCTTGAAATTTTGCTGATTTTCCATAGTCCTGAAAGGAATCTTTCGGTACTACAGCTGAACAAATGAACGCAGGCCATTATGACTGTGGAGTCGGTGTGGACTGCACTACACCTGTCAGAATTTCAAGCGCTGTCAAGAATAAACATGATAGGAAACGTCTTTGAGAGCGCATCGAAAGCGCTCTCTGCTCGATGTTACTACTCGGAGGAGAAACGAAGACTGAGCGGCTCTGTCACCCAGTCATACAAATGAATCGACGATGGCGTCAAGGAATCCAGAAACAAAGCAGCACCGCAAGGTCCTGATGCTGAAGGATCGCGTTCAAACAATCGAGAAGTCACAACAAGGATAGTCGGTACGATTGATCGTATGAACAAATTTGAAGCCCAGCGAAAAACGAAACTTCCACAGGGAACGTTTGACTCCTGGCTTCAGAAGAAGCAGCTGAATTTGAATTTTGCAAAACATGTAATCTTCTCTCTCTCTCTTTTTTGTCTCTCTCCATCTCTCCGTCTTTCTCTCCAAGTGTTGTTTGACCTGAAATAAGAATGGCATTGCGCAAGTCCTGGGGAATTGTATTAGCTGCATTTTGATATGCATATCATATACTGGGATCCATATATGGTCGCACGGTGCAAACCTCTAACTAAAGACCACCTGCTACTAAAGACCGCTTTTGCTGGCACCAAGGGGTGGTCGGTAGTCACAGGTTCTACTGTAATTGGAACATCGTCTGCTGAGTCTGCTATGGTGTAGGCCTTGTCTTTGACATTGAGCACTCTCCGCAGCTCGGGGACCAACGGATTTGTTAACGTGGAATGATATGAATTGCCGTGCAGTGATTATGAAGCATATTGAGAGGACTATGCTGCTCCAAGGAGTAAAATGCACATTCTATATCCATGATTTGCTGTGTATTTCCGTGTGTGTGTCTGCACCAGGCAACATAACCGCTAGCCGTAGTGCCGCTCTAGCCCGTGCCCAGGCCAGCGCTCCACACCTGGCCGTCACGCCACGTCGCCAGTCACCGGCATCGCGCAGCGGTGAGCGTCACCTGTCCACGTCCAGTGCCCAGCTGACCAACGAACACTCTTTGCGCATCACGCCTCGTCTGGACAGTCCGCAGCTGGGGACATCGGCAGCAAGTGACATACAGCTGGAGGAGTACGTGCAGTCGCCGGGATTCCGGCAGAACACGGTATGTGTGTATGGCGACGACGAGATCGACAACGAACGTACCACAACGGCAATATAACGCTGACACTACTACCTTTGATGGCCATGCTATTGAACAGAGTAAACAGAAGAAACTGACCCGTCGACTGACGTACGGTTTGTTTTCGTCATCTGTGTGTTGAATGATTATCCTACCTTTGACAGCCACCCTACTGAACAGTGAACAGAACAAACTGACCCGTCGAATGACGTACGGTTTGTTTTCGTCATCTGTGTGTTGGATGATTTTCCTACCGTTGACGGCCACCCTACTGAAGAGAGTAAACTCATTTGATAGTATCTGTAGGATGAGATCCGGCACGGTTTCGCCATCTGCGTGTTGGATAATGTTCCGCCTACAGTCGACCGATGCGTCCACCCACGTTGACCATTTGCTCTCTCCTTGCTTGGTGGAAGGAAACGAAGACATGTCCAAACGCGTTGAGTATGCAGAATTTAGATTAGCTAGCTTCCCGCAGTAGAAGAGATTTTGAATTTTCGTTTTTAGTACTTTAAACCGGAGTTTGCACTTCTCTTTACACAAACACATTCTATCATCCATATGCTCCTGTAGTAGCTCACACTGTACCCCATCGTGACCCCATCCCCCTGCTATGTGTTGGTTTCCTTACTATCTAGACTGATTTTATATGATTCTGGACTGATTTGAATCATATTATCTTCCTTATTGGCCATGGGCCATCGTGGAAATAAAGAATAATAAAGAATAATAAAAAACACGGCTTGTAGCCAAACACGGCTTGTAGCCAAACACGGCTTGTAGCCTTGTAAATCATTTGGAGGCGCTAATCTTCATGGATCAGGACTGTGTTCCTTCTCTCCTTGTCTCCCCCCCCCCCCCCCCCCCCCCCACACACTCTCTTTCCCTATTTATCAGCACTACAGATGGAATATCATCGACTCGTTGTGCATGATGGATAACGAATTCACATCGTATTTTCGCTAGACAACTAGTCCACATAGTAAATCTCTTCCATGCTCGCGAATGCTGCATTTTCATTTTAGAAATTAGAAGTTATAATTTGAGAACCCGTTTGGAGCCAATATGACTGCATGTATGTCATGACTCTGCAATGTGTGTGTGTGTGTGTGTGTGTGTGTGTGTGTGTGTGTGTGTGTGTGTGTGTGTGTGTGTGTGTGTGTGCGCTTGTGTGCGTGTGTGTGTATGTGTGAGAGAAAGAAAGAAAGAGAGAGAGAGATGGAGAGGGAGAGAGAGTGCGCAGTTGTACTCGCATGTGTGTGTGTGCGTGCGTGTGTGTGTGTGTGTGTGTGTGTGTGTGTGTGTGTGTGTGTGCACATGTGTGCAAGTGCTTATGTGCACGTGTGCTGATGTATGTGTGCGTGCGCGTGTACGCACGTGTGTGTGTGTGTGTGTGTGTGTGTGTGTGTGTGTGTAGAGAAGGTGTGCATTGGCAATTTGTACAGTGCATCCGATATAGTCTATGACGACAAGGTATCAGTTGTCTGTAGATTTCCATCTGGCATGACACAATTAGTTACAGTCAGACGCGTGGTACTCTGTGACTCCTGTGGTACATGTACATGTACTGTACTTATGTACTGGAAGTATACATGTATCCGCCAAGGACACTCCAAAGTCAAGGATTGCAACGGTTCCCAGGGTCCTCAGCAGGTACAGTTGCGCTGACTGAAATCCGACCCCAAGTGTATAACTGGTGAATGTAGAGGGCACCAAGATATGCACTTGAGGTCGGATTTCACCGAGCATAACTGTATTTTTAAATGCAAAGATAATGAATGGCCTATGACTATACACGGACATAGCATGCATGATATGTTCAGTGTTCATGTGCATTGTACTTCAAACTGACGTTTCACGGTAGAGTGTGCAAGGTGGCAACACGTTTGATGTATTCTCACTTACCAATTTATCTCTTCCTTGAATTGCGCGAATTGTGCTGTGTTTCGCCGAAGTCGCACCAACCTCTTCTTCACTAAGTCTTGTATATCGCGCTGTCATAATTATTAAAATAATCGTTTTCCGCTCGTTCTCATAATTATACATTTTTTGTTTCGGGAGTGACACCGCAGCATTGTTACAAACCAGAGCCACTGCATTTTAGGCTAGTGTAGGCCGGCCTATCGTCTGCCGAAAAGTCTACGATAGCAATTGTAGCTCCTCAGGTGTCTGTCGAAGAGTTTGCTGCAATACAGAACAACAGAAGCTTGCCCCCAACTGATAATTACACAAAGCAAAGTTTTAGTGGTCTTGCAAAAGTGCCCAATACGCGAAGAGGAGTGTAACAAAAACTCTCATGATGCGCAAGCTCGCGGTAATCCCGAGACCACAGGCCGGCCGGCTTACCTCACCAGCACAGGTTCCTTCTTGGAGCCCCTATCATTCCCATTGTTGTGTTGACCTGCTACTTCTCTCCACTCTACTGCAGCTCGCCATCACCAGCCTGTAGACACCAGGTACCAGCGCACAGAAGAGGGGACCAGTTCGTTTCTCCTCTCCACCAGTCAGAGCCTTGTAAGGTGCATGGTGAAGTTATGTTTGCGCAACTTTGCCCCTGCCAGCAAAAACCAGAACAGCTGAAGGATTGTAGCCGACGAGAACAATCGGTAGGCAGGAAAAAGCGTGAGATCGCACGGAGGGAGCGACTCACATTTCCCTAAATGGTAACAACCTCGTCTTGAGAACAATAGCATTGTAGTCATTTCAATCTTACTCCTTCTCCTCTCATCAGTGTTTTATGCATTCCAAAATACGGGGACAAGGAGCTTATGAAGCAGCCCGTAATGATGCAATTAGCGACATTGTTCTCAGATTCATGGACCATTCCAAAGACAATAGCCTGATCGGTCCTGAATGCCAGACAGCTGCTGACCAGACTGAAGTGCCTGCAAAATAATCTTGCGGAACACACGCCACTGTGCTGTGAAGTAACATTGCTTCGGTGATTTCACGTACTAGTGTATGACACGTTAAACAAGCTTCTAGCAAACAACCAATCACCGTAGGATGCAAATACTGTATTCAGACTTCACCTGATATTAGTGCTGGCAACTGAAATCCGACCTCTGCTCCGTGCTCTCTCACATTCCAAAGACCCATCAGGCGATAATACACTGTACAGTGTAACAGCGATTGCTAATCACTGGTGCACTGCTGGCTCCAATCAGGTAAGATGTCAGTTGGCAGGTGAGCAGTTACGGAAACGGTATGACAGGAAAAGCTAACAGTGAATTTAGTAGGTGGCATCTCGTTGATCCAGTTTGCGGCTCTTATTCTTTTCATGCCCCAGGCTATACAGCACAAAGAACCCATTCGCCATTCTCCCTCCACTCAATAGAAGTGTCAACCATTTTGAAAGTGAAGAATGCCTCACAGCAATAGTAAAAATAATACTAGTACACCCAATTTAAATGTATACAGTGACGTCATCATCAGCATCAACACAAGCCCATAGCCCTAAGGCCGTCGGGGCGTCACAGAGCAAGTTTGAACAAGCAAGCGCCAATAAAAATCGATCGCGTGCAGCAGCTAGCAAGGACTGCACGTCAAGTGCAGTCCATGAAGTTATTATCAAGCCCTGACATTCTGGGCCTGCCTCGGCCACGACCTCCAGCAACACAACCCTGAAGAACAGTCAATGACAAACAGCCGGAACGAGCAATATGACCAAAAATTGCAATTTTTTGGAATATTAGTGCAATTAGGAGTATAATCGATGCAGACATGGCCAAACAACAACGAGTTCATGGAATTTTTAAGGATTTTTATGTTATTCAAAATCGATTTTCGTGTTCCGCTCATCAGTGAATAGTATCGGAACTGAGGGTACTGTGTACAACAATAGAACATTTTATAACAGCATAATTAATTAAAAGTGTGAACAACAAAGGAAGTGCTACAGCATTACATAATAGGTGTCAAACATAGTGCTAACGTATATAACTGAGTGCAGCCACAAAGCAAGAGGTGATACAGTGCAACATGACACAACATTTACATCTGATAACCAGCTACGAGAACAACTTTAGCGCGACTACATGCTTCTTTTGTTTACAAAGAACAGGATTATGCACACGAATACATACAGCTTCCAGAACCTTCAGCTGCTTAACATAACTTGCACGGCACAAAACAGCTTTGTGGCTGCACTCAGTTATATACGTTAGCACTATGTTTGACACCTATTATGTAATGCTGTAGCACTTCCTTTGTTGTTCACACTTTTAATTAATTATGCTGTTATAAAATGTTCTATTGTTGTACACAGTACCCTCAGTTCCGATACTATTCACTGATGAGCGGAACACGAAAATCGATTTTGAATAACATAAAAATCCTTAAAAATTCCATGAACTCGTTGTTGTTTGGCCATGTCTGCATCGATTATACTCCTAATTGCACTAATAAAATTGCTTTCTCCACGCCGACTCTTTTTGGAATATATAAATTTTTAGTGACGTTATACACGGTACATGGATGCAGCTAATGGGGTTGTTGTGAACCCTGCAAGATTCTCTAAATTGTCAGGATCGTACGACCACACGGCACGAGGACAACTCTTTTCCTTTACACAGTATATTTCACTTCATCTGATAATCAACAATGAACACTAATAACACCAGCTATTTATAGCATGCAAAAACAGCGTACATGCAAAACATAAGCAGATAAAACTGGACATAACAGCGTATACAGCAAAACGCACACAACGCATATAGCGTATGCCATGCAGCAACATCAGCGGTACGGCGGAGTCGAAATACAACATTTCAACGAATACAATGCCATAAGCGCGAAGGCCTTTCCCAATTGAGAACTGGTGGTTTACAACATTCTCCCCACCAAAGGGCTTCTCACCGCCGTACAACAATGCACACAAGTCAAAAACGATCCGGGGCTCTGACTACGCGCCCAGAACGCGTTATCTCCTGCTGCCGTGGTGGTGGTAACGGTGCTGACGGTTCATACGCTGGCTGCTGAGGGACGATAGCAGGTTGAGCGGTATCTGCAAGCCTAGGAGCCACGTCCTGTGACGATACTTCTAACGGCACTAACCTTTGGATCGGCCTCAACAGGGTACTGGTACTCAACTTAACCTTGGCAACACGACGCTTACCATCTCGACCAGGGAATAACTCGATGATCCGTCCCAAACGCCAGAACTGTTTGCGCTTGGTATCATCGAGAACAAAGACAACATCACCCACAGCTAAAGGGCGCGACATGGTCTGTTGGTGTTTGTTCAGCTGACTTAGGTACTCCACCTCCCAACGATTCTTGACATGCTCCAGTGTCCGACTGAGGTAACGCAATCTCGATGACATCTGCGCAGCGTCCAGGGTACCTGCTGGCTTCTCTGACGACATCCAGATGTCACCCATCATCATTGCAGGGGTTACTGGTGGCTCATCCAGGCTATCAGACACATAAGTTAGCGGACGACTATTCACCACTGCTTCAACCTCATACAAGAGGGTCTCAAGCTCCTGGACCTTCAGAAACGCTGTTCCCATTACCTTTTTCAAGGCACTCTTCACTGTACCAACCATTCGCTCATAGAAGCCTCCATGCCATGGTGCAGCTGGAGGATTGAACATCCATGGCACACCCAGTTTGTCAGATGCCGCCTTGAACGTTGTAGCGTTGTCAGACCTGATCCGAGACGGCAAACTACGTCTCGCGACAAACTTCCGAAATGCCATCAAGAATGACTCGGTACTTAAACTATCGACCACCTCCAAGTGAACTGCTCTGGTGGTGGCACACACAAACAATGCTATCCATACCTTCGGAGATGACTCACCACGGCGCACGTACAACGGACCAGCATAGTCGATGCCGGTAGTTGCGAACGGCCTCTCGTGAACAACTCGGTCTTCCGGCAGCGGCGGGCAGACTTCTGAGGCAGCCTTAGCCTTGTAGCGGCGGCATGTAACACATCGCTGAGTAATGTTGCGTAGCGCTCGTCGACCACCGATAATCCAGAATTTCTGACGGATGAACGACAAGACTCCTTCTACACCTTGGTGCATCCTTTCAACATGCATTTTCTCCAACAGCAACTCGGTCAGATGATGTTTGCCTAA